AAAGTATGGGATTATTTGGTTTATATACCTTTGGGCGTATATTTGGGCGAATTTGTGGTGTTTGGACTCGCTTATTATAGCTACGTCGACGGCGAATAATGCTAGCTGTACTTTGTTGTCATTGGGCTTTGGTATGTCGTTTATACAAGGTGTCCCTAAACTTAGTCGCATAAATTTAGGAGCAGATTAGGCAAGTCAAAATAAGACGAAAATCTAAATAAATATTTTTCCTATTTACGTATGTTTAAAAGATACAGGGTGATAAAGTGTTACTTATCATATCAGTTTTTTAATATAACTTCTACTACGGTAGGCTTGGAAAGGTGATATTTTGCGAACAGTCACTTACTACCAAAACACATATTCACACATAATTACAATTGTTTGAGTGAACACAGTGTCGTAGAAACGGGGGTTGCTTTAAGCTTATTGTCCCATACAAACTTTGAGGTTAGGTTTTGAGGCAATTTTTCGATTAAACAGTTCGGCTACCATTAAAAAGGTGTACCTCTCAAACTTCGATAAAATAAACCGTTTCCGAGATATTCGAGATTACAATAATTGTTATATCGCATTATTTAAAACGATTAAAAGATATATGATAACTAATTTTATTTTTTAATTGAATAAACTAAAAAGGGCATTCCATGAGCCTCGGGACTTTTTGCCCTGACCGTCACATTAAAAAAAATGTAGTTTTTTCAATTAAAAAAATTGTTAACATATACCTTTTAGTCCTCTAATGCGATATAAGAATTATTGTAATCTCGAATATCTCGAAAACGGTTAATTTTATCGCAGTTTGAGAGGTACACCTTTTTAATAGTAGCCGAACTGAGTAATCGAAAAATTGCATCAAATGGTATAAAAACCTAACCTCAAAGTTTGTATGGGACAATAAGCTTAAGCAACCCCTGTTTCTACGACACTGTGTCCACTCGAACAATTGTAATTATGTGTGAATATGTGTTTTGCTAGTAAGTGACTGTTCGCAAAATATCACCTTTCCAAGTCTACCGCAGTAGAAGTTATATTAAAAAAACTGATACTTAAGTAAACTTTATCACCCTGTATCTTTTAAACATACGTAATTAGGAAAAATATTTATTTAGATTTTCGTTTTATTTTGACTTGCTTAATCTGCCCCTAAATTTATGCCACTAAGTTTAGGGACACCTTGTATATAGATTAAATAGGGTGGGGCTTAGGCAGCTTCCCTGTGGTACTCCTATTGTGACGTTGTTTTTGTTAGAGTATTCGTTGTTGATGCAGACTTGTAGCAATCTGTTTTTCAAATAATTCCAGACTAATTTAATAATGGCGTTATTGATATTGTAATTGCTCATTTTAAGGATTAATGCCTCCCTCCATACGGTATCATATACTTTTTCAAGGTCTATTGTTGTTATGGCCGTTACCATATTGAGATTATTATTGACCATAATTTTATCTACTAATCGCCCTAGTTGCAGTTCTGTGCTCTTACCGCTAGTAAATCCGAATTGTTCCTCGATCATGATGTTATTTATGTTAATTTCGTTGTTAAGTCTTTTTAGTATGATTTTATCTAGAATTTTTCCAAGGCTGCTCAGTAGGGCTATTGGGCGGTAGCTAATCTTATCTTTTGGGTTTTTTCCTTTTTTAATCAGGGGGATAACTTTGGCGTTTTTCCAAACAGAGGGGTAGTATTGTTGTTTGATACATTTGTTGAAGATGTAGTGTAATTGCACTATTATCTTAATTGGTATTCGCTTAAGTACTCGGTTTTGGATACCGTCTTGACCGGGTGCTTTCAGAGGTGGCAGATTCCTAATGATAGCTTTGACTTCTCTTGGCGATGTCTGGTGTTCAACGGGAACGTCGAACACAATTCCTTCGATTGAGGCAATTTTGTTGTTGACTCTGTCAATGATGTGTGGGTCAGGAAGCGCACCAATGTCTATCCTTATAGTTGAAAAATGATCGGCCAGCACGTTGGCTTTCTCATTAGTCGACATGTGCCTTGCTCCCTGATCTTCGATTACCGGAATGTCATTATTGACACCCCTTTTACGTGCTTTAATCATTTTCCACACACATCCTTTACGTTTTACCTCCTTTCGAATTCTGTTGTGCCATACATAAGATGGAATCTACCTCACCTTTTAAATAAATGTTGTACCCCAACTCAAGCGAGATATATCTAAAATGTGCTTAAACTGTTGAGTGATCGCTAAAACTGTGCAAACAATGTGCTATAAAATATAAGCGTCATAAATGAGAAATATTAAGTCGTGCTAACAGTGTGTATAAAATGTGACATGCGTAAGATAGACTGAAGCTTTGCAAAATGTCTTTAAACAATGTACTAACACTGTGCAAACAATGTGCTAAAATATAATGTAATATAAGCGTGACATATGACAAATAAAAAGCGTGATGTTAATGTACATAAAGAGTGAAAAAACTTAATTATTTCAAAAAGTGTGAAATTACCACAAAGTAGCTTGTATGCACATTGTTATAAAGACTTGCACTCCAAATACACACTTATTGCACACTTTTCATGCATGCTTTATTTTCGCCAGGGTATCGTATCATAGCCGAAAGGTTTTTATGATAGACATAAATATGTAGATGGTTTTTTATAATTATCCATTTTGTTTGTTTTTTGTTGTATACCAATTGTTTTGGCATTTTGTTTCCATGGTTTTTACGACATTACGAATTTATTTACGAATAGGGACCAAAGGTAACTAATCCCGGGATCCCGGAATCACTTCCGAAAAAATATTTACAATTTAAAATAAAGGAACAAACAAACTAACGAACGATATCTTTCGGAATTCACTCTAGTTGGAGGAAAGGTTTTCAAGAATTCGTATTCACATTGTACCCATGTTTACCCCCATTAACAAATAACTGCTTAATTGAAAACATTTTAAATCCTAAATATTTATATTACAAAATGTGCTCAATTACAAAATGCCAAAATAATAATTTTCCCCTACCTAAATTCAGCCCAAAGAATGCAAAATTTATGTATTCGTTTAAGGCACCATTATAATATAATATAGATATATCTATATCTGTCCCCCAAAGCCAAAGTAGGGCAAGTCCAAAAACCTGACTTTTGAAGGATAGATTTGAAACGCGGCATTTTCTTTTTTGCATAATTATTTAAAGCTAAGTTTTTATGGAACTTATGGAACAAAGTATTTTCTGTGGGTTTCATATAAATCGAGCTTTAAACAACAATGCAGATGAATTTTCCAGGTTTTAGATCTTTAAAGTGCTCAAAATCAGGTTTTTGGATTTGCCCTACTTTGGCTCTCAGGTACAGATATGTAGAAAAGTAAGCAATCTAATTTCTTTCTAAAAAGAAAAAAAAATATTTCACTTGTAAGATTTAGCCGGATTTAGCACTGAACAAAACTGCATCTTTTGGTTGTTACCAGGGCCGGCCCGAGGTAACGGCCCAGAGCGGCATAAAGGGGGGCGGCATTTTTACGATTTGTTAATGATAATCAAGAATAATAATAATCAAGAATTAAGAAATACGCTCGCAATGCAGTTTAGATAATTTAATATCTTTGTTACAAAGATTTGAAAGAGGCGCTTTCTTTCATTCGTTTCTTCAATCACATCCTGTAGTTTTTTATACTTTTGTTTGACAATTGACAATTAATAATTGACAAATATTATATCACGATTGGGCTTGTAAAATCAGTGCATTGCTAAGGTAGTTTGATAATTAGAAGTATAAAATGTCTGAAAAACGCAAAAAAGATTCAGGAACTTGTTATAAAAACAAAAGAAGGTCGCGTGCGGCGGAAAATCGAGTACTAGCACCAACCTTTTCCAAATTCTTGCAAAAAGAACCATCTTAGGCAGGTATAATAATTATACTATAATTAAACAATATTGCATATATGAAAATGAGGTTTTATTTTTGTTGTGTACATCTAAACATTGTTTTTATAGGTCTAAAATCAATGATCTGACGTGCATCACAGCAGCATTCGGTTTTGCCAAAGTCCGCTAAACTCATTACGTAATAAAAAAAATGAACCTATGAATATTACCAGTAATGGGTCAAGAAAGTTTCTTAAGGAAACTAAGAAGATGATTCACCTGAAGTAAGTTACTTAAAATGTTCGGGTGCACTCGGTCTGTATACTTTTACATTAAAAATGCGATATTTTAACAGCAATTATGTATGTATTAATCTGAGCTATTGCGGAATATTGCGAAAGTAAATTTTAACAACCAAAGAATTCTTGTAATTAAAAAATATTGTTTAATTATACTCACTATTATAATAGTGACACTATTTACAGTATATAATAATATATAGGATATAATCATTGACAAGTGATGCAATTATGTATATATATTTAACAGTATATTGCCTTACCTAGTAATTCTAAAGCATAAAAAACTATTATAAAAAATTTGAAAAAAAATAATTACGTTAAACTACTTTTTTTCATATTCCTGCTGAATAAAATGGGGGGGGCAAAACTATCTTCGCCCGGGGCGGCAAAAAAGGTCGGGCCGGCCCTGGTTGTTACCTATTTGAATGGTTTATAAGGAGGGACTGCAGTCACACGTGATTATTCTTTAACTTAAATTTAATTTAATTTAATTTATTAATTAAATTACCAGTAATGTTTTCCTGATCAGTTGTACAAAATGATAACATTTAACCACACATTTTATGTTCATAATAAGTGCGGTTTTTATATTCCAAATATGCATGTCCCAACCACATTGCAACTAGTTTCTGTAATGATTATGGGGATCATTTTATCATGTGGAACTTTCCCCTTTGACATTTAAAAAACACTTAGTTAAAAACTTTAATAAAACATAAATTTAACAAAGCACATTGAGCCCTGTGTGTAATATCTACCACGGATTGAACCCCACTTGAACGCTGCTGGTAACTAAGAGTGTTTTATTGTATACAAAGGAGGGGGGCCTTAGTAAATCACTTGATAAATAATGATTACTTTTACCATATTCATTTTTCATAACGGCAACCCACCAACAATAGTTTTTAAAAAATCAATATTTTCTATACTGTATACAGGGTCTAGTGGAAATCAGTGTTTTAATTTTCCGTATGCCTAATATTAGGTAATAAGGTAAAGATTTACTTAACTTTATTGTTAAAATACAAGGTGTCCCTAAACTTAGTGGCATAAATTTAGGAGCAGATTAAGCAAGTCAAAATAAGACGAAAATCTAAATAAATATTTTTCCTAATTACGTATGTTTTCAAGATACAGGGTGATAAATGTTACTTATCATATCAGTTTTTTTAATATAACTTCTACTATGGTAGACTTTGAAAGGTGATATTTTGCGAACAGTCACTTAATACACGAAAAAAAAATGTTGTGGAAAGTACTACAATTGTAAAATTTTCTGGTATAAATTGTTTAAAAAATACGACCAAGAACAATTTGTTAGAAATAATTTAACAATTTTGTAATAAAAATAAACAACAATTTATTGAAGATATAATTATATATTGTAGTTAAATTACTACAATTTCTGTTTTAAATTAATATTGTTATATATTTTAATAAAATATTGTATTGACTAATGCCATTCTTTATTAAAAATAATACAGATTTGCCGTGCTCCAAAATTGTGTAGGTACTTTAAATAAATTATACGTTGATATAAATGCTTTAAGTTTTAGTTAATTTCAAAACAATTGTATTAAATAATTAAACATTTTTTTTACAATATGGTTGTTGTAAAATTTAATTTAATTTTTTTTTCCGTGTACCAATAAGCATATTCACACATAATTGCAATTGTTTGAGTGAACACAGTGTCATAGAAACGGGGGTTGCTTAAGCTTATTGTCCCATAAAAACTTTGAGGTTAGGTTTTTATATCATTTCATGCAATTTCAGTTCAGCTACTATTAAAAAGGTGTACTTCTAAAACTTCGATAAAATAAACCGTTTCCGAGATATTCGAGATTACAATTGTTATATGGCATTAAAGGATTAAGGTATATGATAAAAAAAATTTTAATTGAAATGTAACCGTCAGGGCAAAAATTCCCGGGGCTCATGAAATGCCCTTTTTAGTTTTTTCAATTAAAAAATAAAATTTGTTATCATATATGTATACTCTCTAAAATTGAATTAGTCAAAAATGACTAATTTAACAGTTATTAGTGGCTGCTTTTTCACTTGTACCATTGTTAACCATGGAATACCATGGTATCCCAAAAATTAACAGCCAATTCTTATGTAAAATTGTCCCTGAATCCGAGAATACCGTTAAAAAAATTCCATTTATTATGCAATTGACTATATCTTAAAAACTGCTCCACTTTTATAATTTTTGACAGTATTTTCGGATTCAGGGGACAATTTTACATAAGAATTGGCTGTTAAATTTTGGGATACCATGGTTAACCATGGTACAAGTGAAAAAGCAGCCACTAATAATTATTAAATTAGTCACTTTTGACTAATTCATTTTTAGAGAGTACCTTTTAATTCTTTAATGGGATATAACAGTTATTGCAATCTCGAATATCTCGGAAATGGTTTATTTTATCGAAGTTTGAGAGGTAGTAGCCGAACTGAGTAATCGAAAAATTGCATCAAATATTATAAAAACCTAACTTTAGTTTGTATGGGACAAGTTTAGAGCAACCCCCGTTTCTACGACACTGTGTTCACTCAAACAATTGTAATTATGTGTGAATATTAGGGTGATTTATTTCCGCAAAAACTTTTTTTTCTCGGCGCTCAAGCAAAATATTAATCTACCTATAGAAAAAAAAAATTTCACCAAGGTAGAGCTCTTAATATCAATTTTAAGTACTTGCAGTTTAAATTTAAAGTTTTCCCATTTAAAATGCATGTAAAAAAATGTTTTTTTTTTTCAAAATTCTAATGCTCGCCCGCTCTTTACAATATTGTGAATCGGTTTTATGGACCTTATAGGGAATTTCACGCTCTTCAAAATTGTCTTTGTGTTTTTTTGTGTAACTCGTAGTGGTTCGCCAGTAGGAGTCATCAAAGTTCAATTTTTTGAATGAACTTTTTTTTTTGCAATTTTTTTTAACAATTCGCAAAAAATAGTGAAAAAAAAGAACTGAATCATTAAAAATAGTCTTTTAACAAATATTTGATGAATTTACGGCCATTTTTATATCTTAAAACGTAAGTAATTGATAAATATTAACCAATTATGCTATTTAAATTAAACTTTCTTATTTACTATCGATATAATTCTCTACAACAATAATTTTTCCAGAGTTATTATGATTTTTGACTTATAATAAATATAAAAAAACTAATTAATTTATAAAAAAACAACAATTATACAATTGCAACTTAGATTCTGCAATTTTTCAACATTTCCGTAATATAGCAATAAATATAAATCAAGGTTATTCAATTTTTTTAAGAAAATTCTTAAATTAACGAAAAAGTACCTAAATTGTTTTTATTGTCAACTTCATTTGCTTCAATATTGTATAAGTAGAAATTGCTATTTGAATAATTGCACTAAATAATATTTTGATGGCATATTCGAACATAAGTAAAAAAATAATGATAATTATTTGATTGGGAAAGCAACTGTTTTTTTGTACAATTGTACAATTTTATGATTGCTCTAGTTAATTAGTATGACGTTAGCGACTCTATTGTCTTTGTAAACGGGTTTGATGCTTTATGTTATACTTAACCCCAAAATGTATTGTTTGTTGTATTTAGTGATTAGTCCGAGAACAAAGTACGAAGTGACTAGGTGCACGTTAGAGTGCCTGCAATTTATTTTTTTCGGGCACGCTAGTGACGTAATAGATAAAAAACGTCATCACTGCCGTGCCGCTTAATTTAAAATTGGCGGCACAACAATAATATAATAATAAATTGTACCTGTATACATGTTAAGGGCACGTTAGTTACGTCATAAAATAAAATCTTAATTTGCTTTGCATAAAAGTCGAAATAATTTAATATTTATCAACTTGTTTATTTATGACTATTGATATTTTTATTAAATTTGCAATATATTATCTAATAATGTAATCTGTTATTTGTTTTGTTGTTTTTTTATTAATTGATGGGTTATGTTTATATTTATTTTTAGTCAGAAATCATAATAACTCTGAAAAAGTTATTGTTGTAGAGAATTATATCGATAGTAAATAAGAAAGTTTAATTTAAATAGCATAATTGGTTAATATTTATCAATTACTTACGTTTTAAGATATAATTATAACAATGGCCGTAAATTCATCAAATATTTGTTAAAAGACTATTTATTACGATTCAGCTCTTTTTTTTCACTATTTTTTGCGAATTGTAAAAAAAAATTGCAAAAAAATGTTCATTCAAAAAATTGAACTTTGATGACTCCTACTGGCGAACCACTACGAGTTACACAAAAAAACACAAAGACAATTTTGAAGAGCGTGAAATTCCCTATAAGGTCCATAAAACCGATTCACAATATTGTAAAAAGCGGGCGAGCATTAGAAATTTGAAAAAAAAAACATTTTGTTTACATGCATTTTAAATGGGAAAACTTTAAATTTAAACTGCAAGTAGGTACTTAAAATTGATATTAAGAGCTCTACCTTGGTGAATTTTTTTTTTCTATAGGTAGATTAATATTTTGCTTGAGCACCGAAAAAAAAAAAAAACTTTGCGGAAATGAATCACCCTAGTGAATATGTGTATTGGTAGTAGGTGACTGTTCGCAAAAATACCACCTTTCCAAGTCCACCATAGTAGAAGTTATATGATAACTAACACTTTATCACCCTGTATCTTGCAAACGTAAGTAAATAGGAAAATATTTATTTAGGTTTTCGTCTTAATTTGACTTGCTTAATCTTTTTCTAAATTTATGCCAATAAGTTTAGGGACACCTTGTATAGGTAAGAAACAATATTGTTGAAAATCTTTTTGATATAATATTTTCTACTAGCGTGCGCACTTATCCGCACCCTTTTCCGCACGCATTTGCATATAAAATGTACGTAAGTAGGTAGGTATGTTGGTTTTAGACAAAATCAAATTTAGTTAGTTACTTAGTTTCCACGTCAATAAGTGTCAAACAAAGTAAAACGTCATAATATATTATAGATTTTTCGCGAAATTGAAACGAACATTTTGGAAGAACAGCTACCATACATACATAGTGGAGCCAGCAAATACTATAAATGAGAATTTATTACCAGCGAAATCCTGTCAAAAATATGAAAAACAATTTAAACATTTTGAAATTATTTTGATAATCATTGTTATCTAACTTTGCGCACGCTAGTAGAAAAAATATTTATACTAACACATGCACAAAGTAATTTTTCCGCACTTACTGCTTGCCCGAACTCCACTTCGCGTCTCTTGTGCAATTGCAGTAGCGTGCGGAAAATGTATCTTTGCACACTTGTTAGGAAAATAACTATTAACTTAAAATAAAATTTGTTAATACTTATAATACTAGACTTGCTAAGTACCTACTGCATCAATATACAAAATTGTATATTGTAAATACCTATAGGTATTACCTTTAGGTATTTACAATATACAATTTTGTATATTGATGCAGTAGGTACTTAGCAAGTCTAGCACAAGCTTTAAAACCCAAGAGTCGCCCAATATTCGTTTAGAATTGAAATAACCTCGTCATCGAGTCCTGGCTCAAGGGCTAATTGTAATTATTGGTCCAATGATGGTAATTAATATTGCATTAAAACTGGCTCCAGGTCCCACTTGCCAATTGTTAGTCTTACAATTGGCCTATCTTGGTCAAGGATCATATGATCAGTTTTGGGGCAATGCCCAATCAACTGTGCAGAAACTGCCTTAACTGCTAGGAAAAAAGTTGATGATGGATTTTGGACCAGTAGCCAGTAACAAAACTTGATGCACGATGAATTTTTATACCTTAAATAATAAAAAATATACCTTAAATAATAAAAAAAAATTTTTTGCTATGGTAATATTTAGCACAATCCACACAACAAGGTCTG